AGGGTCAAGACCACAGCGTGGTTTCAGGCATGCTCTGGCGCGGGGCGTAGCTGATGGACAGTCTACAGGATCCCTGCTCCACTGGGCAATCGGAGTGCTGGTCCGGCAAGGAGTGTCCTGGCAACAATACTGTGAGGAAGACACTCCTTCCGGTTCCCTTGTTTGTAAAGCCGCTCTTGGCAACAGCATGCTGCCAAGAGCGGCTTTACCCCGGGCTAGCATGTCTGTACCAGTGCAGGATCATATCGCACTACACCATATATAGCTTAGATAATCCTTTTCGACCCACATGTTAGTCAGAGGGAGCATGACCGCGCCTTAGAAGCAGAACATGTATGAATACATCGACTCTCAGGGACCCTCCTCGAGCAGATCAGTAGCCTGCACGTGCCGCGTTGTCGCATACCAGCGGGCAATAATATGCTGCGTGCGCCCTGTGAGAAAGTCTATCAGGGGTCAAGACTAATGCACCGGCGTTACAGATCGAACCATTCTGGAAATCTGAATAGGAGGTCGACATGGCGTTTGTGACCCAGGCTAGCTGAACCATTCTGGGGTCTCTAATGATGCCAGGAGAACTTGATGATCCGTGGGATGCTCGATGCAGCTGTCGTCTACCGCGCGAAACTCAGGGGATGGTCGTGGTCCGGTAGACTTTCAAGTCTGCCTTGATATACGCTATGTATATTATCGACATTTCAAGTTCTTCTAATGGCTCCTGATCTCCGAGCCTGTCTTAGCTGCTCTCTTTGTAGAGAGCGTGATCTGTGTATTGTTACGCTACCAAGCCTAGTATACTCTCATAGTGGAATTCTCGAGCTGGAAGAAGGATACGTTGACTTGAAAATCATGTACGCCGTACGATTCCATCCACTTGCCGCACCCGGGGGCCATGATGTGTCCTGTAATTCTGTCCACGTCTCAAAGCTGATGCGAGATGACCGTGACCTTGCGGACCAATTGCAGCTTGGTCGTAAACTTCACCGCGTGGCGCGTTGGGAGGTGACGATATATGAACAACTCTCATGTGCTAGACCTCATAATGGTACATCAACGGTCTCGAGTATCTCGTCGATGACATCTCAAGCCGTGACTCCGTCGAGTGAGAAGCATGAGATCTTTTTCACTCCCCTTACTGTACCACCCTGGTCAAATGTGGCGACATTTCCTATATAGTCAATGATACGAGGTTCATGCCGTAACCTGGTACGTGCTACTTGAATCGATGGGACCTAAGCGCAAGACTGAACGCCGCCGTGACCATATAATATCCTCTACTCCCCTACTTTCATTTCCTTGTACATCGACGTCTTTGGTTCTACGGCGTCTCGACTGTTGATTTCATTTCCTTGTACATCAACGTCTTTGTTTCTACGGCGCCTCGACTGTTGAACTTCCCCTTTCGTATTTCTACTAGGTAAGATGCTCTTTCATCGTTTGATATTCCTTGCTAACTATGCCACATAATCAGGGCACAAATGCACGTGTACACTGAGTGCTATGGTTGGAGACGTGGTGCATACGACACTACGGGGACACCGACGCCTCCACCTCTACCACCGAAAAGACGGTCGAGCTTGCACGAGAGTCTCACAATAGACGCGGATTCCGGCGACGCTCGGGCATAGCCCTTGTGCGTCAATCCTTTCGGGATAATCGCAATTTGTACCAGAATATTACTTAGACCACTTCAATATTTCGGCTGGTTGTGAATTATCGCGTTCGAAGGTTGGCTGCTGTTTTGTGGGCGGGGTGGATGATACATTCAAAAAGTCCCTGCCTATGTAGGTTCTAGAAGTGTATATTCCTGACGTTCGAACGTGGAGGCATCTACAGTGCAGATACCCAACCTAGAGAGTAAAATATACCTCATGGCACACTTCGGCCCTGCAAGTATAGGGGGGCCAAAATGATATAAAACAAAAAATCTCGTTGATCAGTATTTGAAGCAGTCTGACGTACTGCAACAGCAAGAGGAACTCGTGTAGTTGGAATATTTTCTATACAGACGTCAAGTCGAGGCCCAATCAAAGGCGGAAAAGCCCGAATAAATTTGATGTCAAACGGTGCACGACCAATTGTTATCGATTGACTGCCTGATACCTAGTATTAGGACATTCTTCGAAAATCTAAAGCTTCTCGAACCCGCCAGTAGTATACTTCGTACACTTGCGGGAACCTCAAAGAATAGTATATGGGATGCGTTCTCGGCAGCCTATTTCAGACCAACGCGCTTCACCATCGAGTGGGGGGAGGGTAATAATGTTGAGGCCATGACCGAGAATCCTCATGATGAGAAACAACTCGCATATCTCCAACTGTGGACATTCTGCTTACGGCGATTCACTGATGTGACGAATTTCACTCCTAGGAAAGAGCTAGGGCACCCGAAACCTCCTCTTAGCCGATCGAACCAAGCTGTCATATGCAAGTTAGCCAGGATGGCTTTTGATCTTGGATTTCGTATTGAATTTATTGAGGAAGCCATTACAGAAGACCCCATGGACCTACTTGCCTGTCATCTTGTCGAAGGCTCTGAAATTTTACGTCTCAAAATCCCAGAAAACGAGTGGCGAAATATTGCTGCTATCTTGAGAAAGTCGGGTGCCGGGACAGGCTCTGTGCCAGACGCGCCGATATTTACCGATCAGGGGCGATTGGGGTCAGAAAGACGCTGTGGTCGTCCATTTGAAAGAGACTACGAGGCCGAAAAAACTTCTCTATATTTACCTCCGCTTATGGCACAAATGAGAAAGCATCACGCGATCAGCGATGGCGAGAATATCACATCTCTATATGTTAAACTTGATTTCTTGAAGACGTTTTTCGACGGCCTTGATGTGAGTTATTCATTATGAATATATTTTTCATTCTAACCTATTTAGATAAACGTCAAATTCCTAGATCAAACGGAGAACATGCAGGTAGATTCAGGTGATCTCACCGAACTGCAGAACGACCTTGAAGCCCGATTTGCCACGTCCCTACGTGAAGAGCAAAGTAAATGCCTTGCGCTGACTCAGAAAATCCAAGATATGGAGCAAGCACACCATAATAAATTGCAGAATGAGAAATTAGAGAAGGCAGCTTTGAACAGTGACATCGAGATTTTGCAGCAACAGTCTGCAGCGCAAGCTTCGACTTAGGCGATGATGGAGGCTAGAATGGCTAGCCTCAATCACGAGATCTTGTTGAGAGACGAAAGGATGAAACAATTCAAAGGAGAAGTGGAACAAGATTACAAAATACACGAAAAGGCCATGCATGACCTCCGTGCGACTATTTCGACGATGACAGAGCAGCGCCAGAAGGCAATAGAAGATTCACAGCACCGAAACCAACTTCTACTCGAGGGACCCATGTCGGCGCAGAATTTAGATTACCAGAGAATTCGCCGATACGCACGTACGTTGTTATGGTCTATACAACGAACGAGAAGCTATTCTTCATTCCTTTATACGCTGAAATAAATCACTTATACGAATTCTTCAACGTTCTCCGGCTAGATATACCCACTGTGAAACTAATGACACGAGACCGAGAAATTTTCAATTACAATGACCAATACAGGTTTGAAGAACTGCTCCGGATGCACCAGTACTTATTTATAGGCAACACGGCATCTCTGACTCTATTCAAGGAGAACGAGCGCGTTTATGACAGACCTGATACTATGCACCTGGAACTTCCATCTAAATCTAGTCTGCTTAAGTTGCCAAAGACAGAGAGAAACCCCCAAAAAAGCGAGAAACGTGTCTCATCCAGGAACGACAAGAAAACCATTGACAATACACGCTCCAGAATCAAACAACCAACAGGCGTCAAGGGATCAACACGTCATCTTGCCAAGTTATTAGAGCCTCCATCAACTTCTGCGCCAAACTTGCCCACCGTAACAATTAATCAAGAGTCGTGACCTAAACGTCGTCGCTTGTGCAGGTAGCCATGCGGAGATCTCACTGGAATTGGTCGCCTTTTGGGAGGCCGTAGGACGTCGATTCCATGATTGTGGGCAACATAGGCGTTCTCTGCAGTCTGATGCCTGCATTCTGCGAGAAAATCCTGGTCACTGAGTGTCTGCATGGGGAGGGATATAAAGTAGTCGATATCTGGACTATTGTTGTTTAGGGAGCTGAGTGGGAATAAAAGTCCATCATTGTCGCCACGATTCTGCAAACTGAAGTTCGACCCGCTCTGTTGAATAGTGCGATTTTCATCAGCGCCCAGACCCTCGATGGATGCGACTGGAGAAGATTGTTTCCCACTTGGCGAAGCGTACGGATCATACACAAGATCAGGTGTGGCTTCAAGAGATCGATCGTTGAGGCTTGATCGATTGGCAGGGTCAAAACCGCCGATGACACCTACTGATTGTGATTCTCTCACCGTTTGGAAATCGCAGGGTAGATACACTCGCGTGGGGTTTTCATCCTTTTGTAAAAGTGAGTGCGCTGTTCGATAAACTCGCAACTTCAAAAACTCACTTGAGTAGGCCAAGAAGCCTCTTTGTCATGACGATATACATGGATCACATCATTGTACGCAACTCTACAATCTATTTCCATACCAGGAAACTGAGCTTGAAGTTGGTAGCATTTCCTAAACAGGGTAAGACGACGGCCATCCAGGACTTTGGCCGACATGGTGTGGGTCGGTCGTTTGCAGTATACAAAGTGGAAAGTGATATCTGGGGAGAACAGATAAAACAGAGAAACACAATTATAGGAAGTCGATAGTCCAGATAGTCTTGTTCTGGAGAGGCGGATAACGCATTTTAAATACT